ATTAAATTTGCTTATAATAGTTTATACTACTATAATAGTTTTTTTTTTGCTCAGGTAAGATTTCGACAGACGATTACAGAAAAAAAGTAGATGACTTCCATACCTATCCATTTATTTCACTAAAAAAAAGTTTCTAATATTTTTAAGTTAACTATTGATGGGTTTATAAATAAATACGTCATGCGTCGTCTCTTGTTGTTTTTAACCAGTTTTATTGGTTTATTTCAAAAATGACAGATCATATTTCAATATTATTGGTTTGACGCAACGATGGACGACAAACGGACGCCTGTGCGTATGAACTCGACTTAAGATTTTTGAGAATTGTCAAACTCTTACCAAATTATAGGTTATAATTTTGTGTCAAATTATGTCAAATAGAAATGATAAATATTTTGCATTTTGCATTTTGGACTGTGACAGACAATAGTTTACAGTTAATATTTGGTGCACAGAGACCGCCAGAGACACAGTTTTCCAGAGACTATGGCCGGAGAGTTGTATTAGCCACAAATAAAGATGTATACCATCTCGTATATGGTCCCAAAAACTGGAGTATCTGTAAAATAACATCACACGATAGGTAAATAATACATTTTAGTACTGCAGCAAAAAAAAAGATTAAAGTTAATTAACCAAGATTGGATTTTTTCACTTTTATACAGTTTTTTTTCAGAATATTTTGATGTAATCACTTGTCACCCAAAATTTAAATATATTAATTATTCGTTCCAATTGTAAAATAAAATAAACTTGTAAAATAAAATAAGCTACTTTGAAATTAAAATGACAGACACATCTATCACTGTCAAGGATTTTGTCGTTGGACAGACTATAATAAGTAAGTATTTTATTCATTATATTTTATCAAGGAAAATAAAGCAGTATCTGCTGGCGGAACGAATGGATATGTTACTAGTGATTTTATTTTGTGAGGCTTTTAAATTGCTTCTTGACCTCTTCAAAGAAACATGTTTTTATAAAAAATTCTGCGATGTTTTTACAAGAAACAAAAAATGTATTAAATACTAGAAGGGCCTACTTCTTGGAGTTTCAAAATATTTTTACTATATTTAATAAGGTTGAGAGATTCACATCTTTTACTGTGTAAAATTATTAACTTATTTTGAATACAAAAGTAAGTAGCTATTCTAAGTCCACGGAATATTAGAAAACCCTGTATACAGTTCAGTCCGTTAGAACTTGTCCACTTTATACAGTGAGATTGCAGTCCTTTGGAATTGTCATCCCAAAGGACACTATGACGTCGTTTTATAGTCACAGTGAATATTATTAAGACAGAGATATCATGAAAATAAAATTACAATTAATTATTATTACATGTTCATGACAAATATGGTATTAAACAGTTTAATGTTTTTGTTATTCTGAATCGATTTTTGAGTGATTTCATAATTATTAATAATAAATAGCAATTTATATAGACAATAGGAGAAATTACGACATATAAACGTACAAATAAGTATCAAAAATACATAACTCTAAAATATACATAAAACAGATTTAGTATACACAAACAAAATTTATTTACCAACACGATATTGTTAATTATATTATTTGGAGCTTTAGAATCGTTTTTTAGTAATGCAATTATAATTTTAGTGCCATTAATATTTTACAATCGATATTTCACGCCGCTATTCTCATAATATTCTTATTGAATTTATAAAACATAATAACGGATAACCAAACAACGTCCACCTAGATGACCAGTATATTACCACCACTCATAAAATATTAGTGTTATAAATTATGACGTTATATAAAATTGATATTGACCAGATATGAACGCGGGATAGTCATAAATTTAGTGCTATACATACATACACATATATCTCTCGTCTAATAATGACTGTCAAATAGAGGCATAATCATACTAATCGATTATGTATCGGTTATGTCTGCTATTTAATAATTTAAGGCAAAGGCATACGTCTGTTGAACAATAATCATACGTTTATTAAACTCTGATTTAGAATTCAATATATTACGAGACCACTACACTAAATCTAATTTGTTTATCATAAAGTCGACATATCTCGTGTATCTGGTCTAATAGCAGACTGGTATATCAGAATAATTAGATTATTACTTGCTATAGCTGTCACACTGAAAAAATACTGTAAATTGTGATCTAAAAATGTTTGAAAATATATTTTTTCTCTCAAAATTAAAGGGCCGTCCTATACCGGAACAATGCGACCTATAAAGCCTTTTGTCTTTCCTTTTGTCCGTTCTATGTCAGCATCTAGTCTTCCATCCAATCGTTTATGATTCAGCTATGGAAGACAATAACTCAGGTGAAGAATTAGACTAATAATAATACTAAAAATAATAATTTGTGTGTTTATGCCTTGTTTGGAATTCATATGATTCATTTCGATGTTAGGTTATTTCTTTATTAGTTTTTTTACTTGCAGTTTCTTTTTAACCTTTCTATATTTAATAGTACAATGTATATTAAATTTTATATATTTATAAGTAGATTTTATTACTTTAAAAGATATAAAAAAAAATATATTTTTTAACAACAGCAATAATATATTTTTTAACAACAACTTTATTTTTTTATCACAAAATACTTTAAATTAGGATCGCCCTGTTAATTAATAAATTAATAATTTCAATTTTTTTAATTATACTTGCTGTCTATTTACGCTTTAATTACTAATAATTTATACAGGGTGACAATTTGAAAATGAACAGTATTTAATATTACCTCTACCGATGACAGTATGAAAATTTGGCGAAATACGTCAATTTACATATCAAGGGGGACAATTTTTGAGGCATTTGTTGTCGTGTTACTTTCAACCCTTTGACCCCCAGGGCACCTACCCCTAAAATTTTAAATGGCAACCCCTATTTCTTTTATCATTTTTGTGTTCCTTATAAAATTCTACATAAACTGCATTATTATTTTGTCAAAATTGTGATACTTAACCTTACAAATGAATGAAATGTATTTAATATGTAACTTTAAAACGGATTGCATTCACCGCCTCATAGAACTTCATTTAAAAATGTTTGTACCTACCAATACTATACATTCCAAATTCCTTTATTTATTTAAATTTCGTCTTCGATGTCGCCACTACAAAACATAAAGTAATTTAATTTTTTTGCCGTTTTCGACAAAACAAGATTCTCGTTTTGCTTATTCCTGATATTTCGAACAAATGATAAGTAGGTACTTGTTCTTTATTTTCCGATTCCTGGTGTTCATTATTTATTTCCTGTTCTTCCAGAATCAGTAAAATAAGCTGTGAACGTTAATTTTATAAACTATTTCAATAGTTTTCAATTATTAGTGTTGTTTCTTAAAATGGTTTTCACTGTTGCTGAACGCGTAGAAATTATTTTTATTTACGGAGCTGAAAATCGCTGCTTTGCAAAAACGGTGGTCGCATTCAACAAAAGACATCGTGAAAGAAATGTTGGACACAAGTACATTCGTGAGTTAATGGCTAAATTTGAAGAAACAGGATCTGTTTGCAATAAGAAAAGGAATGAGCCAAGACTGTTCAATGAAGCCGCTCAGATTGAGGTTCTTGGTGAAGTTGCTATGGCTTCCACTACGTCCCTTCGTAAAGTTGCAGATCAAACTAGACTGTCGCGTGAGTCAGTCAGGAAAGTATTAAAGCTTCACAAATTTCATCCATACAAACTCCTAATTACTCAAGAATTAGGGGACGATGACCCGGACAGACGTATTGAGTTTTGCGTAATTATGACGGACAAGATTATTACTCAGCCCAGGTTAATAAAGAATATCTGTTTCAGTGACGAATGCACTTTTTACTTAAATGGCAAGGTCAACAAACAAAACTGTCATTATTGGAGCGACATCAATCCTCACATTATTAGAGAGGGGCATACGCAATACCCTCAAAAAATAAATGTCTGGGCGGGTATATTAGGCAATAGTATCATCGGTACTCTCTTCATTAATGAAAATCTAAATGGTGAAATTTATGCAGAAATGTTAGATACAGCTATAGAACCTCTTATAATTCGTGAGGTGGAAAATCAAAGGGACACCAATGGAAATCTTTTTCTAGATGAGTATTTGCTGCACTTCCAACAGGACGGATTGCTTCCGCATTATGTACGCCCAGTAAGAGAGTGGTTGGATAATCATTACCCAGAGCAGTGGATTGGTAGGAGAGGACCCATAGAATGGCCACCTAGGTCACCAGATCTGACACCGCTGGATTTTTTCTTATGGGGTCACTTGAAATCTGTTGTATTTAAAACTCAACCAGACTCCATTGAACAATTACAATAAAGAATTGTAAAGGACTGTAGAGCTTTTTCACCTGAAACTTGTTGTACTTGTGCTTGGAGAAGAATGGAACCCATTTTGAAAAATTCATAAAGTAGTAAAGGTAAGCCTTCCAGTATTTCATTATCATTATCATAATTTTTCAAGGAGATGCATTAATTTTAATGTACATAAAATACATTTCATTCATTTGTGAGGTTAAGTATCACAATTTTGGCAAAAAAATAATGCAGTTTATGTAGAATTCTATAAGAAACACAAATATGTTAAAAGAAATAGTGGTTGCTATTTAAAATTTTAGGGGTTTGACCCTGGGGGTCAAGGGGTTGAAAGTAACATGACAACAAATGCCTCAAAAATTGTCCCCCTTGATATGTAAATTGACGTGTTTCGCAAAATTTTCATACTATCATCGGTAGAGGCAATATTAAATACTGTTCGTTTTCAAATTGTCACCTAGTATACATTTAAAGAAATTCTAGAATTCTTAAACATGCCACTAAATTACAAAATGACGATCAAACGTCAAAATTTCAAAAGTGACTTCCATGCTTAATTTAATCATTACTATGCAAAAAATAAATATCAGTTATAAAAAAGCTCCCCCTCGTTTGTTAAATTGACGCCGTTTTTCATACAGTATTTGCCAGATTATATTAATATTTTTGATATTAATAAATGTTTTTATCTGTACCTGGGTGCATTAGTTCCATTTTTGTAGTACCTTCTGTCATATTCGTTAAATTTGTGGGATCTTAAATAATAAGCAATATCTTTAATTGCATCTCCGAGCCATTCAGGTCTTGCTTCAGTAGTTGTTTTACTAGAAAAATGTTTTCTTTTTAAAGTAGATGATGTAACAGTAGTAGAAACAGTAGCAGTGATATTCACAAGTCTTGTAGTTAAGTTTACATGCATAGCTGACTGCATAGCATCGACAATCTCTTTATCTAGTCCTGAAGACTGGTCAGCTATTATTCCGATCATAAGAACTTGGACAATTATCAAGACTAGAAATATCGAATTTTGTTTAACTGACATTCTTAAGATGACAATGACGTTTATACTTTACTGTACTTTACTACACTTGGATGGGATTATTTAATCTATGGATAGAATTATAGTCCGGTCGAGATATTAACAACAACCTCGTGAGTTTTTTAGGAGCCCCTTTTTTGACTCTAAATAATTTTTAATTAACATCTTAAAAATTATCGTTCAAATAACTTCAGAAATTTTTGGCATTTGGTCGCTACATTAAATTATACCAGCAGAAAAAATAAATAAAGGTGGAAATAAAAATAAGATGTTTCCTCTTGGAAACGGTAAGTGACCAGTGAGGCCTCTCTGGATAGAGCTAGTGAAGCGCTATATTCGCTCCGTTTAAACTGTGTTTCGAAAGATATTTAATGTGAAAAACTTCGATTGTCGATTTTCTGGAAAAATCGAAAAACTCCAATATCTCGGAAACGGCGAGTAGCTAAAAAACCAGTGATGCCTCAACGGATAGAGCTAGTCCTAGAGGGACCATTTTGCGAAAAAAAATAGGTCTTCGGTTGAGTTGGAATATATTTACACTAATTTATGTAGGAATGGGGGTAGTTTTTACCCTTCCCGTACTTTTTCCTGATTTTAGTGAAAATCAAACGTTAAAGCACTTCGCAAAACAAAGACACCCAAAATCTCATTCAAATCGGAATAAATAATAATTCTTAAAATATCTGAGAAAATGTGTTTATTTTTTTAAAGTTTGATGCCCTCTAGTGGACAAACACAGCACTTTTGTGTCCAATGAACTTATTTTGATTCCAAAAGTACGTAGTAGCCCTATGTCCACGGAATATTGGGACACCCTCTATACGTTGAATCATTGAATAAAAATACCAAGGAAGGAGCATATCAACAAAAATATCGCGACAGCGATGGAGTTATTATGACTGACTTAAATTCTGGTGTAGCAGTATAATAATTATATTTAAAGCCTATTAAAATATAGTAAGTAGAGTAGGCATAATAATTTGCTGGTTTTGTTTTACGTTGATTCTACAAACATACTTGTTAACTTGCTTGCGCGTGTGAACTTATTTTAATTCCAAAAAACGTAGTAGTTCTATGTACACGGAATAATGGGACACCCTGTATGTGTACTTTCAATTTGTATAAAATATATAGAATATCCATTTACTAAAAATACATTAAAGTGGCTATAACGGATTTTTTACACCGACCCTGAATCTAATGTTTTTATAAAATATTTCTACAAGACGCCAAGAACATCTGAATCCGAATAATTCAAGCTCATTGGCATATTCCAGCCGCTATTTTGCCAAAAGATAAAACTAAATTCTATATATTAAAGAAAAGAAACGGGCGATGCTAAAATTGGAAAAAACCGTTTCGCTTTCCATCGGCCTCTCCGTCCTCAACGGCTGTGTAACGCGAAACATTTAATATTAAACTGAAACCCTGAGGCAAGCGGCTTTTTAAACGGAGGGCGTTTTCGTTTAGGTCCCTTGCCAAATTTATATATTTTATATTTCTGCAGACGTGTCAACAACTGCGAAATAAATAGTGTGAACCTGGCGTCGCGCGTCGGGCGGACCGTCGACCCATCTTCTTGAATAATGCAAAAGAAATATGGGGTATAATCAAATAAAATGTAAAATATATTTATATATCACCGGTCTCACACAAACTAGAGGGTGTCTTATTTTGGTTGAAATTATACGGTACTCCGTTATTAGTAAATATAGAAAAATGCAGTTTGCACAAACCTGTCCCACATTTTTGACAAACAAAAGATCCTCTAAACAACATATTTATAGCCATCTTTTGTTTCTGAGCTACGGGTCTTTTTGAAAATTTTGCAATTTGGGGCACCTTCCGTATTTCCGTTATTGTGAAAGTTATCGAGAGGGTGAAAACTGTTTATTGTAGAACTTTTTAAGTACTACAAAAAAAAATTGAAGATATGAACTAAAGTTATATTTTCTTAAATGAACACCCTCTAGATTTATAAATCTAAAACTCTATAAGTATTTATGTCCACTATTTATTCCAATATTTAAAAGATTAAAACCCATTCGCCCAACTGGCAAAGGAATAAGACAGGGATACGCAATATGCCAAAACCTGTTTACAGCAATACTAGAAGAACTCTTCCGTTAATTCTATTGGACCAACAAAGGATTAAGTATAGATGAAGAATATCGTAAAAATCTAAGTTTCGCTGATGACATAGTCCTAATTGTCAATAGTCCTGAAGAACGAAAAGCACAAATTAACGAACTAAATACAGCCATCAATAAAGTAGTTTTCAAAATGAATTTAGCAAAAATTAAAGTAATGTACAATAAACTGGTAGACAGAAAAGACATTTTAGTAATAGTAAATAACATAACACTGGAAATACTAGAAGAATATATATATATATATATATATATATATATATATATATATATATATATATATATATATATATATATATATATATATATATATATATATTTGGGGCAACAGGCTCAATACACAGCTCGGGATCTTTACTACCAGAAATTAACAGAAGAATTAGGAGTCAACATGGAGTATTTATGGAAGAAATTCAATCATATTCAAATCTAGAATGCCACTTTATCTAAAGAAGAGAACATTTTACGAATGTGTGCTACCAGTCATTATCTATGCATGCAAAACCTGGATACTTAAAACGGACATTATAAGGAAACTGCAGGTCGCACAACGCTCAATGGAACGAAATATGCTGGGAATTACCAAGAGAGACCGTAAAAGTGGATACGACAAAAACCCCAGGTAATAGATGTCATCCACAGAATTAAATACCTCAAGTGGCAATAGGGAGAAATGTTAATGGTAAATGGGGAGAACCTGGCAAGAAGGACAGACAACAGATGGACCACAAAAATTACAGCATGGTACCCACGAGAAATCAAGAGACTTAAAGGAAGACCAAATTTAAGATGGGATATTAGGAAATTAGCAGGAATAATTTGGGTAGCATAGCCAACAATAGACAAAAATGGGCCCAACTGCAAAGAGAGTTTCTAAATATGTGTGTACAAAAATTACTGACCTATTTTAAATATTTATTTTACATAAAATCTTTGTTATTTCAAATGCAACAACCTGTATATTTTATGTGAAATACTCGGTGGTTGAGTGGAAATCAAACTTTATATATCTATTAGTTTAGAAATATTATTGAAAAATATGTTTTATTTACAGAATCCCAGAGCTAGCATTTTTTCTCCTGTATAAACATTTAAACATTTATTTGGGTGAACTAATTTATGCTGTGAAAAATTTTGCATCCAAAACTTTCCGGAAATTGTCGAAATACTAGCTCCAGCATAAACACGTCAACACTAAATGGATTTTTGATTGCCTCATTATCATTAACAGAAAAAAATTCCTCAGTTTCAATAAAATTTTGTGTAAGTCTTTTCTGCTGATTTCTTCTACCACTAGCTGCATTTTCTTTCTTCGAACACACAGTAGCTAGATGTCCCTTCTAATTGCATATATTGCAGGTATAATTTCGAAAACGACAATTTTGCGTAATATGATTTTTTCGACCCCAACACGCACACTTTTCACTTTTCTCGGATTTTTAATAAATCGAAGCGGATGAAGATAGATCCTCCAGCCACCACCTCACTGTTACCTCAGAACATCTATTGTCAGAGGTCAGAGGAGGATGGGAAATACCCTGTCCCTCCTACAACAGAGAGATCCCCATGTATGATGAGTTATAGACTGTATAATCAAAGTTTACTGAATAAAATATAAGTTCCGTCACTTGTGCCGGCGGCAGGTATCAAAAGCCGCTTCACGCACGTGTTTCCCAGTGTATTACTGGTGTGTGGACTTTGGACCCAGCATACACGGCGGATCACGTTCGGCGTATTACTCTGATTTTGGCGTTATTACAGAGTGGTCTCGCATGCATATGGAATTATTTTTCAAGTGATTATTTAATTTTCATTGCAAAATGTTACTGATCACATTAGCCTTAGTTAATTATTTATTAGTTTATTATAAAAAAAGCATAATTATTTTTATTATTTCTTAAAAATAATATTGAGTTTTTCGCCACTGGAAAAAAAATATTTAAAATATCTAATTAGAATTATTCAAGAACACTTTATTTTTTTACACGAAAAATCATATACTGGGTGTGTCTCAAAAGTGGCTGATCCCTATAACTTTTTAATTTTTTCAGGCAAAAAAACGAGATTTGGTGTGTTAGTATATGACCTAAATTAGGATTGATTAACGTTTTCAATTTTTTTCGGTCACTTCCGGTTTCACCGAAAATGACTACAACTTTTGATTTTTAAACGGCAACTTCGGCATTTTTCTACTTTATTCGATAAAAAATGACACTCTGAATAGAATGACATATCATATGTCAACTTTTGGCATTCTAGCTTAAAAAAAATCTTTTAAAATTTCAATATTGAATGTCATAGCTATACTCTTTTAAAAACAAAACTTTAATCAAGGAGTCCTGGAAAAAATAGATTTGATCGTCTAATGTTTTCCATGTCTTGTCTTGGCCGGTTAAAAGATGCCCAAATGGTATTTGTAACCATATCTTTTTTTTTTCAAATGGATAGAGGGTGGCTCATTAGTATATTTGGAAAAAGTATTTTTTTACGAATAATTTCATGCCACACACTTGGTATTTCGAGTCAAATTGTCGTTATAAACCGCGTGTTACACTTTCAAATAAATCATATTATGTGAAACTGTTAAAAGCTGACATATGATATGTCTTTCTACTCAGAGTATCATTTTTTATCGAATAACGTAAAAAAATACCGAGGATACCATTTAAACATCAAAAGTTGTTGACATTTAATAGTTTAAGCTTTGAATTTTATAGTGTACGTAATTCGTGTTGGAAAACCATATTACGCACTCATGGAATACTGCACTCGTGCGTAATATTATTTTTTCCAAAACACTCGTTACGTAATATACTTTTACGTTATTTACTGTTGATATTGTGTAGCTTTATT